TCCGCTCCAAGGTTGCAACATTGCTACCGTGACCGGGCAATCGTCTGCCGCGAGGCTGGCCACTCACGGCGAGCAACGCGGGCAGACGAAGCGCGCGATGCCGCCCGGCCCCCATAATCGTCAGACTCATCCGGGCGTCCGCCGACAGAGTCGCCCGTGGCTTCGCAAGGCACGGTGGCAACTTGGGCCGGGAGTCCTGGCGAGGCCATGCGGGCCAGAGCGGGCGGCGCGATTGGCCGCCAGGCAGGGGCGGGGTCGCCTCTGGCGGCTGGGGCAGAGGGGAACGCTGCATTGTGGAGCGTCCCAATTTAATCCTTGGTTCCCAATTTGCTCTCGCTGTATCTCGAAACCACGGGGCCCCGGCAACGCTGGGAATGGTTGCAGCCTCCTGCCTACGCGCGGCAGCTTCGGCCATCGCGCTCGCCCGATCTCGGCGGGCCCGTCGGCAACGGGAAGGTTTGGTCAAATATTCGTCGTGATATACGGATTTTTTTCTGAAGCCGCTCCAGAACTGTCATCGCCTCTGGGCATCGTTTAACCGACCCCTATCCCCATGAACGTGGCCTGGGCCCCAATGGCCGATTGACCCCCTATATGGGGATAGAGGCCGTTCCCTTCGGGTTTTGAGGGGTATATCCCCAACTGGTGTGCTGAGATGGTGGGGGTCCGGATGGGGATGGAGATGGGGATCGGGATCGGTCAAACGATACCGAGCCTCATTGATGATTAAAGGTGAAAGATTATCTACGCTAAGAACCAACGTAGGGATCTCATGAAATGTGCTGGCCAATATCACGTAGTCCTGACGTTGCGCCGCTTCCACAAAATCATCCAAAGTGAATTTCCCGACATGTGAACCGCTAGCAGCCTGGCCCTCACAATTGCCAACACCAGTGGGAAACGCTTCCCAGCAGCCGCTTAAAGAACGCAGCGAGAATACATTAGTGAGCTTTAAGTGGTTACGGTGATGTTCACCAGAATCCTCCTCTCCGAAGAGTGGGGACGCGGGTCTCGACGCTGGTGAGTTCATGTCCACGAAGTCGGACAGAACTTCCCAACAACCACGAAGGGAGCGTAAAGAAAGAACATCAATATGCTTGAGATGTTCCACGTAGTCTTTCTGAAAGCTCTCTGCACACGGTACTGGCGTTTGGAGTGGCACGGGCACGGGATCAGTTGCAATCTGAGTGTGCATGCGAACAAAAACCACGGCGCCAGGATTCAAAGATGTCCCTTGTGCGCTCTTCAACAATAGCGCCTCCAACTCAATCAGAGGCTTTCCCTGGCAGACTCGCCCTTGTTGTCGAACACGAGAAAACTCGAAACCGGTTTGCTATATCCACTATCAAAAAAATGGCTTTGGAGATCAACTCTCAGCGATTGTCGTATCCATGCTGACTCGGACGGCGAGTCAGCCCTAGTATGACGACGAGAGGGAGAACTCATGACGTAGAAGGATGACGGAGGATACAATAAGGAGATGCTGCGACACGCTTGACGACTCAAAACAAAATGTTTTGAGCGAAGTTTGCGACGCCAACGACGACGACGACAATGACGACGACGACGACGACGACGACGACGACTACGGACGACGACGACGACTACGACGACGACGACGACGACGACGACGACCAACGACGACGACAACGGCGGCGGCGGCGGAGGCGGCGACGACGACGACCGACGACGACGACGACCGACGACGACGACAACGACGCCGACGACAACGACGACGACCGACTCCGACGACGACGACAACGACCAACGGTGACGACGACAATCGACGACGATGACGACGACGACAGACGACGACGACGACGACGACGACAACCAACGACGACGATGCAAACGACGCGAACGACGACAACGACGACAACCAACGACGACGACGACGACGACGACGACAACCGACGACGACGACGACGGCGACGACGACCGACGACGACGACGACGGCGGCGGCGGCGGCGGCGGCGGCGACCGACGACGACGACGACGACGACGACGACGACCACGACGGCGGCGGCGGCGGCGGCGGCGGCGGCCGCTGTAGCGGCAGCGGCGGCGGCGGCGACGACGACGACGACGGAGGACGCGCTGTGGCAACGGCGGCGACGGCGGCGGCGGCGATGGCGACGGCGGGGCGCAGGGCGAGAGGCGAGGGGTGAAAGGGGCGGCGCGCAAGCGGGAAGGGCGAGGGGCGGAACGAGTCAAACTTTCGCTTGGTCTGACTCGGGGCGCCCGCGGATAAGAACACCTGCCGTCTGCAAGACATGCGGCAATCACTGTTCTGACTCTGGTCTTCCTGGCTTGCAGGCAGGACCTGTATCCACCACCGTGCCGCAGGCACTCGGTGGAGCGTCCTCGCAGAGTCTCGAAAGTCCTCAATGTTGAATTTGGGGAACACTCTTCAGGGCCCCAAAACCAAAGCACAGAGTCTTGGGCGCTGATGGGCGTTCCCAGGCGCTCTCGGGGTGCTCCTTGTGACTTTTCCCGAGGCCTAAGGGGGTGCGAGTTGGTGTCCAAACCTCCAGCTTAAGATGGTCCTACGGGCACATCGATTTTTCTTGGGGGCCGTTTGGGGGACCTCTGGGAATCGGCCCACGAAGCCCCAACAGTCCAAGATTATCGGGTCTGGGCACGAGATTGGCATTCTCTCCTTTTGGCCTTCAGAGCGTCCAAAGGACGGCCTAAGAAGCCCCCGAGAACAGGCCAAGACGGTCCACGAGCCCGGAAGAGCGGCCCGAGAGAACCCTGACGGCGGCAGCTAATGGCGGAAGCCGTGGCTCTGCAACCAGTGCTTCAGGAAAGAAGGCAGGACGGCCCAGGTCAACGAACGCCCAGGCTAGAGAGGGGAGGGAGGGCGAGAACGACAACGAGGACGACGACGAGGACGACGACTACGACGACGACGACGACGACGACGAGGACGAGGACGAGGACGAGGCCTGATGGCACGCACGGGCGGAAACAGCTAAAACTGCTTGCAGGCAGGGTGGGGAAACCCAAATATTGAACATGATGGACCCACGAACCCGGAAAGGGATAAAGACATGTGCAGCATGGTCATGTTTTCACGATACCCAACTGGGCGACATCTCACGAAACATCCCACGAGACACCCCGCGAAACATCCCACGAGACACCTCACGAAACATTCCACGAGACACCTCACGAAACATTCCACGAGACACCCCGTGAAACATTCCACGAGACACCCCACGAACAGGCAACCACTCAACCAGACACGCCACGAAACATTCCACGGGGGTGCGACTGGGTGTGGTCGTGCTGGGGTGTGGTCGTGCTGGGGTGTGGTCGTGCTGGGGAGTGGTCGTGCTGGGGTGTGGTCGTGCTGGGGGGTGGTCGTGCTGGGGGGTGGTCGTGCTGGGGGTGTGGTCGTGCTGGGGGCGTGGTCGTGCTGGGGCGTGGTCGTGCTGGGGTGTGGTGGTCGTGGGGGTGTGGTCGTGCTGGGTCGTGCTGGGGTCGTGCTGGGGTGTGGTCTTGCTGGGGTAGGGTCGTGCTGGGTCGGGTCGTGCTGGGTCGGGTCGTGCTGGGGTGGGTCGTGCTGGGGTCGTGGGTGGGGTCGTGGGGGTGTGGTCGTGCTGGGGTATGGTCGTGCTAGGGTGGGGTCGTGCATTTCGCTCGAGACATCCTGCCAAAATTCTAGGAAATCGTACAAAAACAAACGAATTAGTCGAGACATCATCGAAATTCCTTCGCGCGGGGCGCTTTTCGCGTCGCGGTCGGCTCTGCAAAACAAGCGTTTCGCTCGAGACATCCTCGGCAAACTCTGCGGAGCAAGCGTTTCGCTCGAGACATCCTCAACACACGAAAAAGTGGCCCGCACCCTGTGATTTATCGATCGGGATTTCAAAAACAAGCGTTTCGCTCGAGACATCCTCAAATTTTAATCTGCCGGCCTCCTTCGACCTCGATATTTATCAGGGAAAAAATCCGCCGGCCTCCTTCAAGTTGGCACCGGGGGACAGGTTTACCTACTAAAAGAGAACCCTGGGCCGGCGCCCTTTCCGGGAAAAACCTCAACGCGGAGACAATCATGATGCTTAAGAGGAAAAGACGACAACAACAACAACAACAACAACAACAACAACAACAACAACAACAACAACAAAAAAAAATGCTGGGATCAGCTGGAACCGCGCTGAGGCGAGCGCCACACAGTCGTCTCCCGGCGGCTGGATACCCAAGACAGACGCGCGTGCGCGGGGGCACCCCCAGGTTCGAGATCCCAGCTTGCTCGGAGGCAGCTACTGCCGTACCAGTGCACGAGATGAGTCCGCCACTGCTGCTTGCAATGGGTCCCAGGATCAGGGGAGCTCAAACGGCGCTCGATTCAGGGAGAAATCCAACGGGGCCCAAGATCCGTCCACCCCGAGATTGCCGCCGAAACCGTCAGCGGGCCCCCAAGGTGAAGGGCGGCGGGAGCGGAGGATGAAACCGGCGGCATTCGATGCCATTTCGGCTCGGGCGCAGAGATCTGCCACTGTTGAATCCCTTGTGACTTGAGCTGCAGACGGCGTCGGCGCGCCTATGATTGTGTGACACCTGGGCAGGAGAACCGAGAATCGAATCGATAAGTCGGATCGGCTATCGACATGAATCGGATCGGCGGAAATCGGCAGCTAAGTCGGAAAAAGTCGAATCGGCGGAAATCGGCTGCCCTGTATGCGTCCAGTGAGGCATCGGAACCCAAGTCGGAATCCCAGATCGAATCGAATCGGAATCGGAATCCATCGAAATCGAATCGAACCGAATCGAATCGGGGAATCGACATGAGCCCTGCCCAACTTGGGCCACGAGGAGGAAAGCCAGGAGAGAGGACAGAGGCCCTCGGGCTCTTAGCCGGGGCACGGCGGGGGATTGGGAAGCGGAAGCGGAGGAGGAGGAGGAGGAGGACGACGACGGGTCCACGACAGCGAGGACCCGGCGGCCCGAGCCAGGATGCCGGCCAAGCGGGCGCCGCTGAGGCTCGGGCATGTCGCCCGCGAAGAGCACGGCGCAGTCGTCGGGAACATCGACCTGGCGGCAGGGGCCCCGCGGCACGAAGGCGCCATCCAGGCTTGGGGACCTGGGACACGGAGGCGGCGACAGAGCGCGCCGAGTCCGCCGGCCGGTCGGCCAGCAGGCCCCCTTAGGGGCAGCGCGGGTGGGCCGGGGCCCAGTTACTGCACTTGCTGGACGAAGGCGCATGTCCCAACGGAGTCGGAGAAGCCCCTGGGAGAACAACTTCGGTCCCAGAACCATGCGCTCACAACAGATCACCTGCAGCAATCACCCAGGGTGTGGTCACCCGACGGTGTGGGGGCCTTCCTCCTCACAAGTTCCTGCGTGTTCTTCGCAGCTTGAATTCGCAGCGCCGCGCCCCACCTCCTCCCAAGACGTCCCAAGAGATCGGCCACAGAGGCCCCCAAGAGGGCCCCAAGACGGCCCAAAGGGCCCCAAGACGGCCCAAGAGGCGCTCAAGACGGCCCAAGAGGGCCCCAAGACGGCTCCAAGAGGGACCCTGAAGGGGAAACACGAATCGAACATCCGAGCCTTCCGCCCAAAGAGGCGCCCAGAAGGCCCCAAGAGGCTCTAAGTGGCCCACAAAATGCCCCCCAGCACGCCCACAATAGGCCCCAAGAGACCCCAAAACAGCCCCCCTGAAGTTTCAAAAGTTATTCCAGAAGGCTCCAGAGAGGCCTCGAAGACATTACAACGACCATCCACAAGACTGCAGAACAACAACCCGCGCGCAGTTGCGGGATGGGCCGAAGGCCATCATATACATATATAAATATATATATATATATATATACACATACATACATAATACACGCACACACACATACATACATACACACACACATACATACATGCATACATACATACATACAGAAAGGCATGCATACATACATACATACGTCCATGCAGACGTACATGCATACCCACATACACACATACATACATACATACCTGCATGCATACATACATACATACATACATACATACATACATACACGCATCCATGCATACGTACATACCTGCATGCATGCATGCATACATACATACGTGTATACATACATACATACATACATACATGCATACATGCATGCATGCATGTATGTATGCATGTATACATACATACATACATACACACATACATACATACATACATACATGCATGCGTGCATGCATACATACATACATACATGCATACATACATACATACATACATACATGCCTATCGACATACGTACATTACATTGCATCGCATTGTATTACATTACCTTGCATTACCTCGCATTACGTGTCATAACAAACATTACAATACATCACATTACATTGCATTACGATACGTTACATTACATACCTGCATGCATGTACAAGTGTATATGCATGAGTATGCCCAAGTAGGTGCATAAACACATTACAAACATGTGTTTTTTAGCATCAGCAGAGCAGCTCCCGCCGACACAGTGGCATCCTCACCGTGCCCGTGAAGTGGACCCCGAGGCCCTGCCAGAACAGTCTCCCGTACCCGCGTGCCGGCCACGCTCGACACTTGCGAAACACTGCTGGTGGCGAGATGTCACGCCCGACGTCAACTTTAAGCCCTGGCCCATGCCAGAAGTAAACATGATGGACCCACGAACCCGGAAAGGGATATAGACATGTGGAGCATGGACACGTTTTCATGATACCCAACTGGGCAACACCTCACGAAACATCCCACGAGACACCTCACGAAACAGCCCACGAGACACCTCACGAAACATTCCACGAGACACCTCACGAAACATTTCACGAGACACCCCGCGAAACATTCCAAGAGACACCCCACGAAACATTCCACGACGACAGGCAACCACTCAACCAAGGCGGTGTGGTCGTGCTGGGGAGTGGTCGTGCTGGGGTGTGGTCGTGCTGGGGGGTGGTCGTGCTGGGGGGTGGTCGTGCTGGGGGGGTGTGTCGTGCTGGGGGGTCTGGTTGAGGCGTGGTTCGTGCTGGGGAGTGGTCGTGCTGGGGCGTGTTGGGTCGTGCTGGGGCGTGGTCGTGCTGGGGCGTGGTCGTGCTGGGGCGTCGTCGTGCTGGGGTGTGGTCGTGCTGTGGTGAGGTCGTGCTGGGGTGTGGTCGTGCTGGGGTGTGGTCTTGCTGGGGTAGGGTCGTGCTGGGGTCGGGTCGTGCTGGGGTGTGGTCGTGCTGGGGTTTGGTCGTGGTGGGGTGGGGTCGTGCTGGGGTGGGGTCGTGTGGGATGGTCGTGATGGGGTGTGGTCGTGCTGGTGGTGTTGTCGTGGCTGGGCGTTGGTCGTGCTGGAGGTGGGGTTCGTGCTGGGGTCGGGGTCGTGAGGGAGGTGGTAGTGCTGGGGCGTGGTCGTGCTGGGGATTCAGTGGTCGTGCTGGGGGCGTGGTCGTGTGGAGGTGTGGTCGTGCTGTGGTGAGGTGTGCTGGGGTTGTGGTCGTGCAGGGGTGTGGGTCTTTGATGGGGTAGGGTCGTGTGGTGGTCGGGTTCGTGCTGGGTGTGGTCGTAGCTGGGGTATGGTCAGTGCTTGGGCGTGGGGTCGTGCTGGGGTGGGGGTTCGTGCTTGTTGGGCTTATCTGGTTGTGCTGGGGTTGTGGTCGTGCTGGGTATGTGTCGCTGCTAGCTAGGGTTGGGGGTCGTGCATTTTTTCGCTCGGGGACGTCCTGCCAAAAATTCAGGAAATAGTACAGAAACCAAAGGTATTAGTCGAGACATCATCGAAATTCCTTCGCGCGGGGCGCTTTTCCGCGTCGCGGTCGGCTCTGCAAAACAAGCGTTTCGCTCGAGACATCCTCGGCCAACTCTGCGGAGCAAGCGTTTCGCTCGAGACATCCTCAACACACGAAAAAGTGGCCCGCACCCTGTGATTTATCGATCGGGATTTCATAAACAAGCGTTTCGCTCGAGACATCCTCAAATTTTAATTCGCCGGCCTCCTTCGACCTCGTTATTTATCAGGGAAAAAATTCGCCGGCCTCCCTCAAGTTGGCACCGGGGGACAGGTTTACCTACTAAAAGAGAACCCTGGGCCCACGCCCTTTCCGGGAACATGATGGACCCACGAACCCGGAAAGGGATATAGACATGTGGAGCATGGGCACGTTTTCACGATACCCAACGGGGCAACACCTCACGAAACATCCCACGAGACACCTCACGAAACATCCCACGAGACACCTCACGAAACATTCCGCGAGACACCTCACGAAACATTCCAGGAGACACCCCGCGAAACATTCACGAGACACCCCACGAAACATTCCACGACGACAGGCAACCACTCAACCAAGGCGGTGTGGTCGTGCTGGGGAGTGGTCCGTCGCTGGGGTGTGGTCGTGCACGGGGGCTGGTCGTGCTGGGGGTGGTCGTGCTGGGGGGTGTGGTCGTGCTGGAGGGGTTGTCGTGCTGGGGTGTTGGTTAGTCGTGTGGGGCGTGGTCGTGCTGGGGCGGTGGTTCGTGCTGGGTGTGGTCGTAGCTTCTGTGGTGAGGTGGTGTGGGAGCGTGGTGTGCCGGGGCGTAGTTAGGCTGGGGCGTGGTCGTGCTGGGGTGGGTCGTGCTGTGGTGAGGTCGTGCTGGTGGTGTGGTATGCAGGGGTGTGGGGGAGGCTGGGGTGGGGTCGTGCTGGGGTGGGGTCCTGCTGGGGTGTGGTCGTGCTGGGGTGTGGTCGTGTTGGGGTGGGGTCGTGCTTGGGTGTGGTCGTGCTGGGGTGTGGTCGTTCTGGGGTGTGGTCGTGCTGGGGTGTGGTCGTGCTAGGGTGGGGTCGTGCTGGGGTGGGGTCGTGCTGGGGTGGGGTCGTGCTGGCGTGTGGTCGTGCTGGGGTGTGGTCGTGCTGGGGCGTGGTCGTGCTGGGGTGGGGTCGTGCTGGGGTGGGGTCGTGCTGGCGTGTGGTCGTGCTGGGGTGGTCCGCACCATGTGAGTTATCGATCGGGTTGTGCTGGGGTGTGGTCGTGCTGGTGCTGGGGTGTGGTCGTGCTGGGGTGTGGTCGTGCTGGGGTGTGGTCGTGCTGGGGAGTGGTCGTGCTGGGGTGTGGTCGTGCTGGGGGGTGGTCGTGCTGGGGCGTGGTCGTGCTTGGGGGGTGGTCGTGCTGGGGGGTGGTCGTGCTGGGGCGTGGTCGTGCTGGGGCGTGGTCGTGCTGGGGCGTGGTCGTGCTGGGGTGGGGTCGTGCTGTGGTGGCCCCCCCCCCCCCACCCCCCCCCCCCCCCCCCGGCTGGGGTGTGGCGATACCTCGGAGGTCGTTGATGGGGTTGTGTGGTCGTGCTGGGGTGTGGTCTTGCTGGGGTAGGGTCGTGCTGGGGTCGGGTCGTGCTGGGGTGTGGTCGTGCTGGGTATGGTCGTGCTGGGGTGGGGTCGTGCTGGGGTGGGGTCGTGCTGGGGTCTGGTCGTGCTGGGGTGTGGTCGTGCTGGGGTATGGTCGTGCTAGGGTGGGGTCGTGCATTTCGCTCGAGACATCCTGCCACAATTCCAGGAAATCGTACAAAAAACAAACGAATTAGTCGAGACATCATCGAAATTCCTTCGCGCGGGGCGCTTTTCCGCGTCGCGGTCGGCTCTGCAAAACAAGCGTTTCGCTTGAGACATCCTCAGCAAATTCTGAAAACAAGCGTTTCGCTCGAGACATCCCCAACTCTGCAAAACCAGCGTTTCGCTCGAGACATCCTCAACAAATTCTGAAAAACAAGCGTTTCGCTCGAGACATCCTCAAATTTTAATTCGCCGGCCTCCTTCGACCTCGTTATTTATCAGGGAAAAAATTCGCCGGCCTCCCTCAAGTTGGCACCGGGGGACAGGTTTACCTACTAAAAGAGAACCCTGGGCCCCAGCCCTTTCCGGGAAAAAGCACTGGCAGCACTTCCCTAAATGGCAACATTGGGTCAGAAATCGTGGAATGAGATTTAGCTAACGCAAAGACCAAGCTCCATGAACGACCACGCAAACTTGAGCTCCCAACCCTGTGTGGAAATCCCCCTTTGGCCTACTCAGCCGAAAACTAAAATCGCACACAGTAGCACTAGAAGG